AGGAAATGACATTATATACTTAGGTTAAATGTTGCAAAACACACAAAGATTAAATGTTGCTATTCACACAGATTAAAATATATATTTGCTTTATAAAAGTGAAACTATTGTGAAACTATTTCACAGAGCAACCCTTGAAAGCTGGCACACTATTGCAGCAAAAGTCATATTAAAAATGCATTCTTTTCATTAGGGAGAGGCCTAAGCACCGAGTAGGAAGGAGGAGAACCTATTAAAACAGTCAAGTTGAAAAAAGTACGGAATGGTGAAATATACCATTTTAAACCCTTCCATAGGGGCCATTTTATTTAAATAGCACTAGCAGCTCTAGTGGGGACCGAGGTAGGAATACTCTTACAGAGCAGTCCTCACAGTGCTTTTACACACACAAGGAGGAATGTTTCCGCTGCGCAGCGAGCAAAATACAGCTTGCAGTCGCGCATAAACAAGGAAGAAAGCCCAGTTCTTAAGAGCCTGTTGTGCAAGTTTAAATATGCTAAACTCTCTGCTTCTTAAGGGAGTACTAAAGACAAAACTTGCTTCCTTACTCAAAGTAAACCCCCAAACTTCCAATAACTCCTCACAAAGATCAAAAAGCCGCTGCAGCATCCAGGCGCCCTCAGGATGTGGGGGAGCAGCTAGCAAGGGCAGTCGCAAGGAAGCGCTCACTTACCCACAGGTACTGCAGGAACTTCACTAAGCGGGGACAGTAATAAAACTCCATGGCTGCCAGGCTAAAGCGGGGGCAGCCCCGGGACGGAGGCGGGCTAGGCGGGCGCCGTGCGCAGCATCGCTCGGCCGCGCGCGCTCCCGCCCGGCTCTGCGCCTTGCGCGGCTGCCCACACTGCTTATAGCAGCGGCCGAGCGGGCGGCACCATGTGACAGGCACCGCCGCCGAGCATCGCGCGGCTCCAGCGCGGCTAATCCGCCTGCTCGGCGGCCACTAATAACAGCACTGGGGATTTTTCTCCCCGAAAAGCCCTGCGTTCGGCACGAGAGGGGAGCTCTGCGAGGCCGGGTTATGAAACGCTGTTAATGCCGCCGCTGCTGCTGACCTTGTTTCTTCTGCAACAAGAGAACAAAAAATTAGAAAGCAAACCTTCTGCTTTTAAAATAAAAATGTCTTTTGTGAACGAGCAAGGCAAGAGGCACCACAAAGTGCCTTTTTATATAGTGCTGGAAAGCGCCCAGCACAGGAATGCAACCAAAAAAGGAAAAAGAAACGCAGAGCAACCAGTTCCTAACGCGCTCGGGCGCTCTCCAGGGCAGGCTGCAAAAATAGGAAGCCGAGCAGGGGGACGGTAAAGGTAGGACGGGAGGCGTTTTGTGAAGCGCAGAACTGGAATAAGGACGTTGGCAGCGCTTGGCGCTTCCCTGACCCGTGTCTTTTTTAAGGATATTAAAGGAGGAGGCTTCCCACCCATTGCCCACAGGGACAGCAGCAGCTCCCAGGGCTCTGCAGTCACCTTCGCTTGGAATTTTGGTATCAGATGTGCAAGTAAAACCCTCCTAACCTTTCTCACTATCACCTATAAGGTCTTGTAAAGCCGATACCGTCTGCTGATTTTTCTTTTTAAATGCTGACTGAATTTTTGAGCTGACAGAACTATCAATACTAAGAGCCTTATGCAACAAGGAGATGACAATGCTGGCTTTTCAATAGGCAGGACAGACACGTCCTAACCAAAACCAGCTGAGGATTCAGGACAAGCTGAAGGAGAAATTCATCTGCATATGTTTATAAAGTGTTTATCTTCCCTCCCTTACAGTCTGTTTCCAAAACATTTCTAAGATGATTTGCTTAGGCCCTTCCCACCCACACATTACAGCCTCCAATAAGCCTATCTTTATAGCACTGCAGTAGAGATAGGAGTTTTCTTCACCAGAGGAAAGAACAAACTGGGCCATCAAGAGAATGTATAACCGGAGACTTCAAAAGGATTCCTCCTTACACCAGTTACAGCATCCAGCAGCATTTGGTTACTGGCTACGGGTCCTTCAGAGCCACATGCAGAGCAAGGCACCAACTCCCATCGGGCCAGGGCAACAGCCCCGATCTCTGGGATGAGCCACATCACAGATACGCCCTTTTTTTTAATATTTAAGACTCATATCAGACCTGATGAGTAATCAGGAACTGAGGTTTGTGACCTAATGTCACAGAATTATAGACCTATGTCAGCTGTAATGGAACCACCACAAGCTACAACGGACAATGTTGGAAAATGTCTCCTGAAGTTTGAGTGGCTTCACATAGCGCCGTGCGGTTACAGCTCCTTTCAGAGGACGCCCGTGTATTTAGCACGGCCTGGGTCTGACAAGTCTATGAAAACAGAGAGCATCTCTCTGCAGAGATGGCCGGGAGCTTCCGCCAGACCTGCTGCCGCCTCCGCGAGCCGCAGCCGCCAAGGCCAGGCGGGAGGACGAGACCGGCCTTATTTTTAGACCTAGGCCGCGGTGTAGGCAGGGACAGAGCGCGAGGCATGAGCGGTTGTTCAGACTGAACAGATTTCCGTTACTCGTGGGGGAGAAAATAAACGAGGCTACGGAGCACAGAGCTCGTCAGAGCGCAGAGGGCCGCGTTTAGGCTCCTTCCTCAAACCAGGGCGCCTAACCGTGGCTGCGGCACGGAGCTCTCCACGGCCTCTGAGGGCAGGGAGGAGCCGACACTGCTGCAAGCACGGGGTGCCTCTTCCACCAGCAACATCACCTCTTTGAAATCTATCATGGTCAACCTTGCAGTTATTTACAGCCTTGCAAGATTTACAAATATTAAAATTGTCTTTGCAGAGGTGTCCTGAGAAAGGCGCCATCCATAGTAATGACACAGGGGATGACATTCTAGCCTGGATGGTGGAATTTTTCTAACAGCCTAATTCTGCTTTCAATCAATGCAAACTCAAGAGCCGAAACACAGTCAAGATGAGGATTTGCTCTTCACAGCATCATTCCTCACAATTTCACCACCAGACCCACATCAATTTTATTTTGTAATATTTCAAGTAGGTCCTACATAGCATTTTCTAAAGACAGACATATTTTTAAGGTAAGATCATTGGATAGGGGAATCCCTAGAATATAAACACATAAAAACACTTTTTCAGACATAAAGCAGTGCTATTAGACCTTGTTCTTGCTACAGCGGCGTGCATCCATAAGCACCAAGATCATTGACTGTCGTAGAAAGTTTCCCTCGAGTACTAGCTGTTTGTGTCATACGTAGACATGAAACAGTAATACGACTACAACAAATGTATATTAATTTTTTCCTCAAAGATCAAAGCACACTGAACAATTACAGCAGATGTGTCACCTCTCGCTCTACAATAGCAATTACAGCTTATTTGTCACCTTAAGCACTACAGTCTCCCCAGAAAGACAGCGCTATCCCGAAAGGGCCGTGGTCACTAGTGACACGCACTGCAGCATTTCCAGTCCCCACGCTGTAAGAACAAGCAAACTGCTCGGCCACTAAACCAGGAGACGAGAAACCATTCAAACAAAACAGCAGCACTTCCGATTCCTTCCACCCCCAAACTGAGAGGTGCTTTAAGTCAAGTACAGATTGCAATCAAATGCAAAGGGGGAAAAAAAAAAAGTGACATTTGATTCTCCTGTAGATAAGTCCTGACCTCCAGCATTCACCCCGCTCACACCCAAGGATAACCTATCTCCTCCTCCCGAGGGAGGTACTGAAATGTCCTGATAAGACAAGGTACTGCACAGCAAAAGGCTCTGTATGAGCCCAAAGGTATTAACCTTTGTGCCAGGAGAAATGCCTCTGTTTTATGAATCAGATGGCAACCTGGGAGCAACCAGGCTCAGCGACGCACAAGCAGCCCAGCAGCTCCGGTCTCACAGCAGCACGTCTTCCACAAAGTCCTGCACAAAGGCTGCACTTGTTCAAGGGAAGCGACTGCTAGTGAATTAATCAGGGCTGCAAAACGCTGAAGTAAGAGACTGCTGCTCGGCGGGCTGCAGGCCCTCGGAGCGCGGCAGGCGCAGGGAGGGCGGCGCGGGGCCCGGCAGTGCGCGCGGCCGCCACGCGATGGGGCTGCCCGCCCGGCCCGGCGCCGCGCGCCCTCGCACCACGCACGGGCAAACTCCCAAAAACCAGGGTTTCTTGCCATTTACAGCAGTATTTCATATAAATAGCGGATATTTTATATAAAAATGGTTTCTAAACACAACAGCGTTAACAAGCCAGTGCGGGTGCAGTGGCCAGGATGGCACCTTCCAGGCACGGTCTCCTCGGCAGCAGCCCTTCTCTTCAACTTAGAGCCCTGTATTCCTCATACATTTTACAAATCCTGTATTTTCCATAGAAAATACTGTTTAAGATACGGTGTAGATTTGGGAAGACCCAGATCTTTGCTTTATATTTCAAAACAACAGCAGGATGTAGGGTGTTAACTGTTTCCTAATACAAAATGAATCCGTGGGTTAAGCCAGGAAGTCCTGCTGTGGCTTAGGAGAGTAACATCCCCACATTTTAGTGAGAATTTACCCCAAAACTATTCCAAAAATAAGCCGCACTATCAAGTCTGGCGAGATCTTTCACAGAAGTAGCAGTTTGTGTGTTGCCTGCAGAAAAAAACCATCATTTTTCATACATGATTTTTCATACAATGGCATAGTTCCCTCTGCACAATTTCCTAGGGAAAAAAATGCTTTACCCAATTTTCATTATTTAAGCTGAGAAACAAGCAAAAAGCAGAATGACGTGATCTCACGTGGTAAGGGTTCAAGGTGAAAACTCTTTGTTTAGAGAGAAAAGGAATTAATCGTGCAGCTTGTTGATATATGTTGGAAGATTTGGCATAATCCAGTGTAGTGCAATCCCACGAAAAGAGTGCTCACAGCTAGCTACATTTCCCAAGAAGTTTACCTGCTGTTTCTGCGAGGAAGCCACGTATTTCCTATCACAACTGAACTAAATAAGCCAAGTGGCATCTCCGTTACCTCCCCGCTATCCGAGAGCCTCCTCCGAGGGCACATACCGTCCAGCTATCCACCCTTCTGTCTTTATAGAAGCTCTGGCTTCTTCTCTGAATGTGAAGTGTGAAGTCTGCTCCATCTGCTTTTTCTGAGCTCTGCCTGGTCCACACTTTTCCAGAAGCCTGTTTAAAAGAAGTTATATATTATATAAACGTGCATATACATACATACATATTTAAGGACACCCTTTTCAGTGAATACAGAGGAAGTTTAGAGTTGCAATTGCAGTACAGAAAACCCTTCCACCCATCAATACCCATATGTTATGTCGTATGCATCGGCGTGTGACTGCGTCAGCAGAACCACCTGCATTTCACCCACATCCCTGTCAGCAATGAAACTGCAGGTACAAGCGAGGCCCGTTCACCAAATGAAAACATTGCCTGTTTCAATAAAATAAATAATACCCAGATGATGACTGTTTGCTACTTGCAAAATAAGCACAAACTAGTTATTTTCAATTACAGAGCTGTAAACCTAAGAATTTACCACACTAGCACTCATAGCAATAGTAATATGTAAGCATCTTTAAAGCTTTTGTGGTGCTCTGTGGAATGTCAATACGTGTTTATACACTTAAAACAAAACGTCTAGTCATCTATTACAATAAAGATTCCTCAAACAAACCCAGCCCAAAAGGAAATAAACTCTGCTAAAAAGAAAGTAAAATATTGTACTCTGCATCTGACAGATACGCCTCTCTACATGGTCTTTACTGGTGTTCAGATCTAACACCAAAAAAAAAAAAAAAAAAAAGAAACAAGGATAGAAATGTAATAAAGCTTTTGTTCACCTTCAATTTTAGTTACAGGAAGCACTTAAATTCTGTAATTATGCATTACCTTCCTATCTTCATGGAAGAAAGATTCCGACTGAGAGGACGTCTTTTTCTGCCAGCCGGTTTCCACACTTTCTGGCGGGAAGCTCTGTCTGAACCGATGCAGATCCTTTCTGCCCCTTGCTTCTTTCGTAAGCGGCACGGTGTCCTTTCCTTGGCGGCTCTTTTCTGAATAGGAGCGTCTCAAATCCGGCGCAGCGCTTCCCAGGGAGCACGTGTAGCTCTGCCAATCCGTTCTGCTCTTCACACTGGCAGGGTCACCGTCACGCCACGTCTTACCCGCATCGTCTTTGCTCTTACTCATATAGCTCCGCGTTACGTCTCTGCTCTGGTCGCCTTCTGAAGCCACCTCCAAGAACTGCTCTTTTGTGAGCAACTTCTTCTGTAAAGGGCCAACATCAGCCTTTACAACCAACTTCGAAGCCAAATTGATTTCCAGCTTTTGGTCTGTACCAATTACACTTGCAGGCTGTACCCTGTCAACTGCGAACGCTGAACTTTGTTGCCTGGAGACTAGGTTCATTTCTTGATCTTCATCAATGATGAACGTTTTTTTCCTGGTGAACTCCACGGGTGAATTTACCAACTTCTCTGAGAACAAGCTGCTAGGACTGCCCCAGTAGGGAGGGCTGAACTTTCTCTCCTTGGGCTTGTGCTTATCAAATTCAGAGCCAAAGGTTTCCACTTTCTCACTGTTCTTTTCATTCAGGATTAATTTCTCTGGTCTGTTGTAGTCTTGTGCATGGTCACCTTGTTTGTTTTTAGCAAAACAGTGTTCTGATCCCTTCCTCTCTTTCCAGCTATAGGAGGAGGAAGTCAAATCTGACACATGTCTTTTGTTCTTTGGTAACTCCCTATTAAATACACTGTGATCTTCAGGGAGCTTCTCCTGAGTCACCGATTCTTCTTTATATTCTGCCATAAGGGCATCAATATCAAGAATTCGTGATCTATAACCATGCTCAGCCTTCCCTCCCCCTGTATCAAAATTGCTTTCAGTACTCTTGTGACTTACTAGTTCACTGCTTTTATGCAACTGTGTGAAATGTTGGGCAAATCTGGGTTCATAGTAAGAAGAAACCTTTCGTGCACTGCCTCTGAGGTCAGTTTGACGTGTATTTTCCAGGTCCTGTTTTAACAGAAAAGCATTAACATCAACAGTTTTGTCTTTAGCACAATCTAGATTTTTTTCATGATACTTTTGGTTATCTTTCCCAGACAGTTGAAAATTAGTGACTGCAATGCTTCTGGAAGAGTTAGCTTCATTCTTTTCTTCCTCTTTCACCCAATCCTTACTAATATATGCATCTCGTGAGTCTTCTCTGCAATTCGCATGTGTTATATTTTTATTGGGTTGTTGTAACACAGGTTTGGACCTTTGGGAAAAAGCAGGATCCAAATTACTTGCTACTACCTCACCGGAGGGAGAAATTTTACAAGCTTCACGCGCACTGGGGGTACCAAAGCTTTTCTCTTTTTTGTCACCAGGAACCTGGTACGTAACTGCAAAATAAGTCTCCTTTGGTTCAAAAGCAGAACTCTGATTTTTCAAGTAGTCCTCAGCAGTTTGGTTTGGCTCATCTCCTTCCATTCCTTCCCTGCTCTTTTTAGTTCTCTTTTTCACTAAGCCTTCTTCCAACTGCAAGGACTCTGTCCTGTTCAGCCTTCTGATACTCTCCGGAGTGAGCAAGCCAACCTCTTCCATCCTGCTTGAATCCTGGGGCAAGGTCTTTCTTCTCCATCTTTCTGAAATTTTCAAATCTGCAATGCTGCTTTTGGTTCTCCTGATCTTTTCCTCTGGTTCTGTTACTCTGAATTTCTCTCTACTCTCATGTGCTGTCCTATCTAAGCTAAAGCTCTGCTCCACAGAGTCCACACACTTCCTTAAATCAAAGGCTCTAGGTTTTTCTTTGCTAGTGGATAGTACTTCCATATCAGGATGGTGGCTACTAGAAGATTTACATACTTGTCCACTTGAAACCACTGATGAAGACTGGGCCCCATGTTTATTTACACTGGTTAAAATAACTTCATGACCAAAGTTGGTTCTGAATTCGTGGCCCTCTGCTCTGCCTGATCTTACGCTCCTTTTCTCAGAAGAGTATTTCACCACACTAGGCCGCTCTGTGGAAGGGACTTCACTCTCTTCATTTTTAACCTCAGAATGTGGTTTATTTGCTTGCTCATTTATTCCCAGGCTTTTATTTTTGTCTGTAGAATAATGTATCTTCTCTGCTATTAATATTGGAGCAGTTTCAGGTTTTCCAGGGTCCTTTTTCTGCTCAGGTAAAGTACATGCACTGAAGGAAAAGTCATTAGGTTCTTTAAAAGTAAACCTGCTTGGAAACATTTTTGTGTCTTTAGTTTCTGAAGCATCGCCAGCTTCTTTCAAGTAGTCAGTTTTATTATTTAGCCTGGCAGGCTGTTCAGTGTGTAAAACATCCCCATTGTTTTTCTTCTCTTTCACAGATGATTTTCTAGTTCTGAGAGTCATAGCCTTCTTCTCGGGAGCCATTGTAATGGCTTCGCTGAGAACCCTTTCACCAAACGTCTGAAAGACTTCATATCTTGGCTCTATTCTTTGGTGAGTTACAGAGTCTTCCACGTTTCTAGGAGTGTGTTTTTCACTTTTCTCAACAGCAGGTTTTTCTAACAGAATCGTCTGAGTCATTTTCTTGCCTTCACTTGAACAGGCTGCGTTTCCACTTCTTTCTCCCTCTGCTGTATGTTTTGATGAATGAGCTTGTCTGTGATACTGCTTCATGCTAGCCGTCTCCTCCACCGCTTCTGCCCCCTGCGACCCTTTGTTGTGCCCCAAAGTCACCGTGTCAGGCTTTCTTTCAAGCTCATTAGTCATCTTCAGTGCCGAATCAGCTGCAGAATGACCAGCAGCCACATTATGTCTCTCAACGTTGTGGTCAAACATGGTGGCCCGGACAGTTTTCACATAGGTCTTCTCCATAACCGGGGCTGGTTTCAGTTTTTTTTCGAAGCTGCTTGTGAAGGAGACCGAGTTTTCACCTTGCAGAGGAAAATGCTGACTGTCTCCAAGGAAGCCTCCTTTCGCCTCTGCCTGATCCACTTTGTTGGTTAGTTTTAGAATCTGCCGGGGTTTCCAAGCATTCCCAACGGCGGATGCTTCACTGAAATCTGTGCCCTGGAGAAGCTTGGCCTCCTTACTCTGCAAGAAGGAAATCCAATAGTTAGGGCTGTAAAATAACTTTTACATAAGCTAGGTATTGCCTACTCTGTGCAGCACAACATGCACAGGTTAAACACCCATATTCTCTAAGCACAAAAATATTTTAAACAGCAGATGTAAATCTTTTTTTTGCTCTAAATAACTGTTATAACGGAGTACCTCAAACCTTGATTTTTAATAAAAGGAATAAGTGTATGAAGAGTCTTATGTTTTCCTAGGCAGAACACTGGAATGTTTTTAATATCATCTTATCAAAAGATTCTGCAAATAGCAGCTGCATTAATTGAAGACTTTAAAACTACATAAAGCTCCCATTTAACAATACTAAGAAGCATCAACAGCAAGGCTACATTTTGCTACCCTGAAGTTTTACTTAGAAATAAAAACAACTTCTCCAACCACAGACTACAACTTCCTCTCCAGTTCTGTATTTCCAAAATTTCGTAGTTAAGTGGCTTGTCTGTGGAGATGGACATGAAACATGGAGCATGCACTCAGCATTGGGCTGTGCCTGGGATGTGCAGCGCCCTGCGCTGCTGCTGTGCTTGCAGAAGGAAGGACAAGCACGGCCAGACCCACAGCAGCCACTCTATTCACTACGGGGCTTCATATGTTAGAAGTTGCATTAAACATCACACATAACTGCATTTTTGTCTGTACTGCTGCATGCATTTAACAGCAACTTTCTAAAGACTGGGTGCAGAGACAATACTTTAATTAGTGTGTCCTAAAGATAGAGTTATCCAAGTAAACCTATTAGGATTATGTCATTTTTAATACTCTCAATACCCATTTAAAGTCACTGATTGACAGAGACACATAGGACAGAGTATAGCACTACATACACTCAACATAAAAACCTATTTGGGGATTATAGACTGATGCCATTTTCTTACTTTTTCTTGCATTTCAGTGGTAGAGTCATTTCTTATCTCAGCAGGTTTCTCTGGCTTGACTTCACTGCTTGATGTTGGACTTGAAAACCTAAGACAAAAATTCCTGTTACTTCTTTTAGTTCCAGTTAGTTGACAATTATGCCTCATCCCAAAGCAGACTGAAGATATATTATTCCATCCATTACTGCATCAAGACCAAAGCACTGCTGTTTCATGAAAAAAATGTCATTTAATTTACTTGGATAATGCATAAATTTAGAACCATAATATGGTAAAATAGTAATAATATTAAAAAGAGATACTCCCATCTCTCAGCTTCATTTCCTCTCTTTATTCCCATCACAAGGTCGAAGGACCAAGGTTTGCTGAAGGTTATTTTTCCTCTGTCTCTAGAGTAGATCCTTTTCTGCAAGCGTCAGCTGTGTTCAATATGGGAAATACACTTGTGTTACAGCGCCAGAAAGTGTTACCCCCTGCCCCAAACTCTAATGGCTTTGAATAATCATTTGTACAACTTCATGCTGGCAGAATACATTATTTTTGATATAGAGAGATATTCAAGGTATCTAACAATCACCAGGCCTCATGTTGCTCTAACATTGCTCCAAACCATCGGAAAGGACCTGGGGACGCAGAGGCTGCACGACTCTGACCCTCGGCACCGCAGCAGCTTTCTGCAACGCCTTTGTGTCTAATCACACACCATCAGCTTCCAGTATCTGCCAGATATCCAGTATCTTTTCAGTTCGGAAACCAGGCAATTCCAGGTTCAAAGGAGAAAGAAAAGCCACTCCCGAAAGCAGGAACCTCCCTGGTTTACAAGCTAGGCCTAGCAGGACAGGCACAGCTCAAGGACAAAGCCTGCCCCAAAGCAGCATTAATGCCACCTAACCCGTGCGACTCCTCCCCAGGCCACCTGGCTTTATTATATTAATTAGCACTGCATATGGGGGCACAGGACAGCACGTGCGTACTCAACGTTAAAAGCAATGTTGGATTTTTAAGCCTTGTTCTATTAAGAAATTACGCTTTCCTGCCACCTTGCCACACCATGGGAAGAATGTCACAGATATTTCCATTTCATATCAGGGCTTAAAGAAGATCCCTGTGCAGCTGATATTCTCTACCACGGTCAAAAACATTTCCGCCCCTGCTGTGCCAAATACAATCTAATTCAGAAGTATCCTGAGGAGAGTTGTGTGAGCGTACGGGGATGGACATCCAAAACAGCCCAGAAAAACAAGGCATCTCTCAGCTTATTTTTTGCCTTCTACAAATACACAAGAATGCAGACTGGAGAGACCTGGAGATTTCAAAATACAAGGAACTTTTATAATAGCTATATAGGTACAATAACATGTAAGGGTCATGTTACTGACAGCACATTTTTTTCAGCTGTGAAGATCAATTTTAATCTTTTTTTTTTGGCGGGGGGGGGGGCAAAGGATAAGATTGGAGAGAGGACTTTTTTTTTAACCCTCAAATGCATTAAAGAATAATTAAACAGAACGGAACCAAAATATGCAGGCATCTTACTGAAAGAGCAAGTTCTAGTGAATAAAATTAAGTTTTCAGGGGATTAAGTGCAACTTTTCTGGAACCTACATCTTTGTGAGGTCTGCAGAAAGCGGCCGGGACTGGGGCGACCTGCGCAGAGGTGCTGGTTTCACATCCGCGCTCTCTGTTGTGAGCTCTTTGATTCTCTGCTGGATGGTCACGTAGCCGTTCTCCCTCTCGCCAGGTGAGGGGAGAGGCTCTGTATCCACTGGAGCACTCGGACTTTCTGAAGCAAACAGACTAATGTGTTTTTTAACACTGCCCCTTTTGATACTGTTCTCCTTCTCCGAGGGAGCTGCAGGGCTCTCCCGAGTTAGAAGCACACAAGTTTCCTTTAGATCCGATCTTTTTGCCTCCTTATTAGCTCTGCTGTCACCACTAGCGTCAGAGCATCTTTCAGAGCCACGCGAGGTAGCAGCTACTTCTGGTTTGCTCTCGCTTGGTTCACTTTTACATTTCTGCTGCGATTCCCACAGGTACTTCCCATCGTTCAGGACACCAATGTCATGACTACTGCGCTTCAAGCTTGTTTTAGACGAGCTGTCTGTCTTGAACTCCTTGTCTTCATTTTTTGGCCCCATTTCAGACTGCTCACGACAGCTCACATCAGTGAAATAAGTTAAGGACATGTTCTCCTTGCTCTCATGGGATGAGCAGGTCTTTTTGCAGGGAGAGAGATCCTTATGCTCAAACTTAGCCGTCAGATCCATGGACAAAGGCCTGGGTTTTCTAGCCCAGGATTTCTCTGTGGGAGATTTTTCCTCCACAGATTCCACCGGCTGATGCTTCTGATCTCTTAGTGATTCTAGAAAAGCAGCAGACACTGGTCTAGGTTTTAGCCTTTGCTGCACATCAGAAAAGCCGCCTCTACTGCTGACGTTGTTTGTGTCATCACTGGTTTTCTCCCCTGTAACATCTTCATAAGCATCTTTCTTTTCACGAGTTTTGAGGGAGTTCCAAGAGACAGGTCTAGGATTGGGAGAGAGTGATATCTGCCTGTGAATGGATCCTTCAGTCTTCCTGGTGGCCTCAGACGGCTGAGAAGGTTTCTCAAGCTTTGTGTTAAACTGAAGCTCTTTTGTTTGCAGGGTGCCAAATACTCTGTGGTCATCAGCAGCCCTTTTGCCTTGGGCCACGCTGACCTTTGACTGCTCCGTGCCAGCTGTCTCGAAAAGGATAACAGTGTTAGCGCTGGGACCCGTGTAGAAAGTCATATTCGTGACCACTTCGCTGGTAGCCTTATGTTCACTTTCAATTACTTTATGCTCTACTAATGGAGGGACACTGCCACTTAATCCCTTAGCGGGCGATGTTTCCTCAGCAGCCTTTCTAATAAGATTACTTGGTTTGAAAGCCGTAACAGGTGGTTTTACATTTGCAAAAGTATCCGAAGACTTCTCTTTCGAAAAGGGCTTTGGGAAGAGCCTTGGCCTCGATCCGAGCGTCGGCATGGTTGCAGACCTCAGCGTGCTCGTGAATTTGTTCTTCTCCTCCAGGGCGCGTGGTGCCGAAGGCTCGTGTGCCTTGTTGCTCGCATCGGAAAGCACGCTCACGTACACCCGCTGCGGCTTATCCTCCTTCGTGATCTCCTTCAGGTCAGGCACCGCCGTCAGAGACGCCAGAGCAGAACTGATTTCCACTTTTGTTGCCATAGTTGTAATTACACATTCAACAGAATCGGAAAAACCCAACAAGGAAGAAAAATCTACAAAAAAAGACCAAAAGAAGTTTTGATGTAGAGTCAGCATGAACATCAAATTAACTAATTTTAATTCAAAAGGATGCTACATTTACATTCTGGCATATTTAAGATATGCTGTTTACAGCACATCACAAAAAGGAAGTAGTGTTCCCAATGTTAAAGCAAAAACCACAGCTCCCTTTTATCATATCAATAGCTATTGATACACACTGAGCATATATTTTCATACAAATAGAAAGACAAAAAAAAGAACAGAGCGTCTGGATATGTTATTTGTTAATTTTTAGTCAGAGCCTACAATTAAACCATGTGAGCAGTTTAATTTGTAATTGTAATGTGGATTCCACAGCGCTGCAGCAAGCTTCGCTCCCACTTACCATAATTTGCACGTTGTGCTGCAGCCGGGCAGGACGAGCCAAGTCGCTTCTCATAGCGAGAGCCGCCGTTGCCAGATCACATCAGGAACCAAGGAAAGCGTCGGGCACCGGGCCCTCCTGCAAGGAAGCAGAGGCCATTCAGATCCAGGGATAGCACCACCTAGAGCTACACAGGATTCTCACAGAATTAAAAAAACCCTCACTATTTGAAGGAAATAATCTGGCTCACGCTTTAAAATATAAAGTTACCGGATTATAAATGTACAAGGTAGAAGGATATCTAGTTTTCAGACCCTCTGATCACGAAAAAATTATCATCTGATGCCCGAAGGAAGCAACACTGCAGCAGGTGTAAATATTTTGCCTAGCACAGGAACTAGGCGCTAAGTTTGCACACATCTGCACGCACGCCACAGGATGCTGCTTGAAAATTCAAATGCTGTCAATCAACAATTAAACCCTGAGCTCTGCCTTACTCTAATCTCAATTACTTTAATTTACTTTCTGCTGTAAGTCTCCTTTTTGGGACAACACTATGTGAAGCGGCTCCTGAAAAGCTGCCCTTCTCCAAACGGCTGATTTTCAATCTAAGCGATTTTTTATCATGACAAAATAAGATTTCCAATAAGATTTCCAAGATTTCCAATTTCCAATCTCTTGCCCAAGGCAGGACCTTAATTTAGACTTTATGCATTTGCTGCAGAGATGAGGGCAAACAGCAAAGAGCAGAATTTCAGCAACAAGTAGCCGGGATATTTTCATTAATTTTCCCCAATGAAACGACGTTTTAGCTGTGCGGCAGGTGCAGACGGACAGGCCTGGCTGAGGGCGCTGTTTGCCGGGCAGGCTGCGCGGCCGCCCCGCTGCCCCTGCGGCCGTCCCTGCGCCGCGCCACACGCGTCTCGCCCGGGCCGTTTTGACAGCCCTAAACACAGATATTAACAGATTCCTCAACAGGGATCCTTCTCCCACGTGAGGACCTAAACCGTTTTCTCAACAGACTATTGCACCGCGTTACACCCGTTAGCCCTGGAGCCACCTGGAGCATCAGGACCCTCCGCCGAGGCTCCCCGTGCGCCGGCCGGTCCCTCCTCGTGGCCACAGCCTCTTCCTTCCAGTCGCTATTGGGATCCCTCGGCTCACCCAGCTGCTCCTCAATGCATCTCAATGACAGCTTCCTCCTGCTCCCACTCCTTGTTCCCAGGAACACGAGTGGAGCCGATGTATGTGCCCCCTCATTCCACAGGGAACAGGATTTTGTGAGGAGCCGAGAGGAGAGCAGGAACACACTCAGAAACAAGGACAGCACCAACACAAACCCTTCCAAACCAGAAGTGAGATGTTGCTGGCCCAGTGCTGGCTTTCAGGACTCGAGTAGGGGTGTTTTTGTATCATGTTGTCGCTGCTTTTCTTCGCAAGGAAAGAGGAAGAGCCTCCAGGCCGGAGCTCCACATGGCACGCGAGCCGGCGAGCGCCCGCGTAATCCCCGCCGTCGGCATGGCTCCGATCTCCAGCCTGCACCATTTATCTGCTCTGATTATATCTGCTCCCGACTTCTGTTATGCTACCTGCCACGTCTACATTATCCCATTTTTCAGCTTAATCTAGTCAGTTTTCCAGATTTTCAGGTCTTATTACTCAAATACCCTCAGACCTGGCTCAATCCTGGGAAAGATATGGAAAATAAGAACAAAACATTTTGCAGGGCGGAAATCACGGACTCTTTCAAGATAACAAAGCTACTGGGACAGCAAAAACCCGAGCAAGGGATAAGGAGGAAACATCTCCACTGCTGCCCGCAGCCCTGGCTCACAGGCACCCAAGCTCTACGTGTTGCACGCACCTTGGCTCGGATGAACCCGCTTGTCTCCAGGAAAATACTAACTCCTGAGCTGTCAATGTGAAATATTACCTGCAAACAAGGCTGGCTGCGAGGCTGTCATCTACCTAATGGCAGGTCCCCCGCGAGCTGCAGCTCCCGCCCGTCCTCCTCTTCGCCGCGCCGACACGGCCACTTACTCGCATCGCTAGTGATTCATTTCAGACCATCAGGGCAACAGCAGCAACAACCTGCAGGTCATTTTTCCACCATGAATCACATGATTATTGCCACCTCCCTCGCTCATCAACAGGAATGTTTCAAACGATGCACAGCAACCCTGTTTATAATTGGGCCCTGAATCCCAAAGCAGATAAAGAAATTCGGCTGTATTTTGTAAGAACCAAAAGCATGAAAATTCCACAGAACACGTCCGCTATAAGGAAACAAGAGATCTTTTCCCTTTTATAAGGCTGAAAGCAACAATAACAACAAAAACAATGGCTCCAATCACCATCCATGCACATCTGCATCCGTTGGCAGGACAAACAGCCTGGCAGAAAAGGCGCGAACGGCTCCGCGCTGCCCCTCGCTTGGCACGTGCAGCTCTGCAGCCGTCCTGCAGAACCGCTGCCCTGCCCCGTGACCTCGTGAGCGGCCTCGGCGAACGCGCGGGGACCCCGCGGCACCCCCGTGAACACACGAGGTCCCCATGGACACCCCCACACAGTCAGCAACACTCTGTTTTCCCCGGTACAGCCAGACACGAAAGCTGCTGGAAGCAGATGCAACCCCTTGCACGCCACACAGACCCAAATTAACCCTAGACTCATGCCATGGCTCCTGCAAGAGGCATCTCCCATCAGTTACTATCACACGGTCTCAGAAGCACCGCGTTATTTCCTTTTTTCCCCCCCATTGACTTCACATATTGCAGCCATAAAGCGCCGGGCGATTCACGGCGGTTACCTTAAGCAAGGGCTCTGCCGCCGCGCGGTCTGTGGAGCGTTGCCGAGGGATCTGCTCTGTCAACTCCTATTTATTCCATTCACTTGCTCAGGGAATGGCAACGAAAGCAGAGCTGGGCAGCGAGTGGGTGTGTGAATATGGTCAGGCCTGCAAGACTGGCTGCAACACAGGCAAAACAAGGCTAAGAAATAAAAGCCTGCCTGAGAAATCCAACCAAGCAAAGCCGGCATAATTCAGCAAATAGAGGCTTTTTCTATTCCTGGATTTAAGACTGATTCATGGTATTACTGATGCCATTCACTGAAATTGGATACATGAGGTATATTTAAGTGGACATACGGAGGCTCAAGTCTTTTTTTTCTGGTAAGACTGAAAGAAGGAAATACAGGCTGTGATTTTTAACCATATCCCTGGGTAAAGTCATTCACAAAGCAAGAAAAAGCAGTAAAATACTGCAGTAAAATCCTCTTGTAGCAGATACACAGCAAGTCTGCGCCGAGAGGCTCCTGCTTTGCTCCCAGCAATCCAGATCAGCAGGTTGCAGTCCAGGAATGCCCATTCCGGAGCGCGTACGGAAGGTGGCCCCGGCCCACAGCTGCTCCAGACGTGTCCGCTGTGCTCGTGCATCTCCCCTACACCGCAGCTTTCACCCTGGTGTTTTAATACATCCAGCCTCAACAGTTGGAACATGTCACCTGTGCTACCAAGGGCAAGCCGGTGAGCGGTAAGGAATTAAAGCAGGGCACACAGTAACCCCAGCACAGCAAGCGAGGCCTTTAGGGCAAGAACCTTTGTAGCTAGCTGAAAAGTCTGTGTTAATGCACACGGGACGGACAACACGAATATTCCTAATGCAGCAATCAGGGGAATGAAACATCCCCTGGGAAAACACAGGAGCTGTTGTTAAAACAGACCCGCAGCTCCCCACGGCTGAGGGTGCCTGGGAAGGGCAGAGGCAGCTCAGGGCAGGGAAAGGCCAGAGGCCTCCTCCAAACCTCCTTGAGCTCCTGCGACCAGGACCGCTCCAGAGGGGACAATTCATGGGAACAAAGCTGGATGCACTCGCCCACCCCTGCAGTTGCCACTCCTGCACAGGTTCCATAGTGATGCTCATACACCACATAAAAAGTAATCCAGCGGGATTAAGGTATCAAAGTCACAGCCGCCACTGCTGAGTTGGAACATTTCTGGCACTTGTGCTTCCTGTAGTTGCTTTATTCTGGACAGAGACAAAAGAAGCTGGGGCTGGAATGGACTTAGGAGCCTTGGTCTGCACTTACTTCTGGAGACTAGTTCCAGAATTTCGATGTTTAAAACGTTGCATTTGCTTTAGGATTGCCAGCCATGCCTTCCTGCTTGTTTCTTTGCGTTGTTGTTGCTTGTTGTTGCAAGCACAGGGCCCTTTTCCACTGCAAACACGGAAGCATTTTTCCCTTAATCTTAACTCTTCATATTGGAAAGATCCATCTCTTGGAATAGGTACTTCTCTCAGAAAGCAAGCTGGATGCCTGCACTTCCTTCGGTGAGCCATGCTGCACCGGGCCGAAGGACATGATCTGTCCAGAGAGCTGCCATGAGTACCAACAACTACCTGGAGTTTTTCATCCCAGCTGGTCATGACATTATTTTGCTCTTTTGATATTTACCCTGAATGGAGCTCTAGGGGAAAAAAGTATATACAGAATCTGTTCTTTTGACTGAAGCAAAGAGCAATTCATTCAAGCCTACACTTACATGTATCCTATGATACACGGGGAGCTTCATAATGCATCAACCATCACTCAGCACTTCCAGGGTGCTGAGGCAAGAAGAGAACCCCGAAGCCTATTCAGACATGAGGAGACCAGTCTGCACACATCAAAAATAACTGACCATTCTTGTGCACGTTTCTCTTGTTGAAGCAATGCATGCAGAACAAGAATTTTGCTCTATACGGAGACACTAAATCCAAGTATTACTCCTAATTTGCTGAGAGTCTCATGAGACGCTAAACTAGAGCAAACTTCATCCATCAAAGGAAAAATGCTTTGAAAGTGTGGTGAATCACGGTGCTTGGGCGCCAGGTGCCTAGGCTCCTTACCCTGCGCAATGAGTCATCTTCTCTTCCGCGCTGGCCTGCAGCTCGAAGCGCTCAAGGGGTCCTCCTGGCTCACGAACGAGTGGCTCTTTTCAGAAACTCCAATTTCTCTGCATTTAGCAGTTGAAACGGAGAACAAACACGAAATCCTGCCTTGTGCCAGCGCAGGGCAAGGTTCGGTGGGAACATCGCAGATTGCTCCCTGACACCGAGGCCATACAGGCCTGTGGGGAGGCCCTTTGCTGG